GTGCCCTGTATGTGTGTCAGGTGGAGCTGCAGCAGCAAGAAACATCAGCCAAAGAGGGCCTTAGACACTGCCTTTGAAGGCTGTTGTCTCCCACTTATTGTGGACTTTGTTACTGCTGCCAGACAGCTATGAATGAAGAGGAGGCTGAAGTCATAGCCTGATTTTTTCCCACCCTCAACCCTGCAGTGAGAGATATTTCCAAGTCTCTGCCCAGTGTCTAAGCCTCAGCTCCTGGACAGCTATAGTTCAACCTCTGCCTGTCTCCAGAGGGAGTATATAGTGGTCCTACCATGTTAGCCCCATGTCTGGGAGTGTGCTGAAAGGCTGACCTGAACACCCTGTGAGTAAGGGACAATTAACCAAGTGCCTGGGCCAGAGGAAGCCAGCAACAGCTTTCTCTGCTAGAAGGACCCTGCTCCAGAAAGGGGCCTCACTTTTTTCTAGCAGGGGAAGCATTCATCTGCAGCACTGATGAATCAGGCAGGCACCCTGACTCCATTTTGGCTTCTCCCCACAGCCAGATTGAAGGTGTGATTTTAATGATTCTGCTACAATCCCTCACTGTGCATGTTTCTGAGGATCCTTCCTCCACCTGCGCCCTTGACAAGGATGGAGCCCTGGACTGGACAAGTAAGTATGTCCTTGAGAAATGATGCTGGACACTCAGTTGCACCCCATGTATAACCCACTCTCCTCCACGTCTCACTGTAAGGGAGCCTGCAAGACTGATTCCTATTGTAGCGTATCTCAACTACCTTTCCCAAACTGATGGTGCACTCCTTGCTGCTCCTGCTAAACCAGGCCTGCAAGATTGAAATTAGAAGACTTCTAAGGTGTCATGAATGTTGTCACTGGCTCTGGGTTAAAATTTCTCTTATGGCCACTCTGCAGAGACCTGAGCTTCACCTAGCTAGAAATCAGCTGTTCTGGGTGGAAGACACTGTCCACGTAGCATAGCCTGTGCTGCTTTGCAGTGTGGGGCACCAAGACTATAAATGCATTGACTGAAAGTGACTTCCCTTGCTTTTGCATACACAGCTGCCTGGGTTTGTAACATGCCAGTACAGCTTTGTTCTGAGTTACTGCACATTTCCCTTCCTTTCCTAGCTGGTCAGGAGAAGGGACAGCAACTAAGATGAACAGGAGCGCAGATGTGTTTTCACTGCAGGCTAAACTCTGGTCTTGCTCGTTCATATTTATGTAATACTGACACTGGAGTCCCAGGGACACACTGTAACACAAAGGCTGGCAAACACCTTTTAAATATATCCTGCTTGGCTGAGCAGAAACTCCCTAGAACAAGCTCCACTAGCTGGCAGGGAGCAAGGCTTCCAAATAACTGCACCAAAAAGCAATTCAACTGCTTCATGTCTGAAAGCCTGCAACTCTCCATCTCATAAGATCAGAGCTGGAGCTCATGAATAGGTACCCATTTCTACTCATTTTGTCATCTGATACATGCAGGGATATCTGTGGAGAAAGGCATGGAGATGTTGATTTGAGACAATGCTGGAATGAGAATGTGGCTACTTCCACACTTTGTTGCATAAGCTTTTAGATTTTTTTTTTTTAATTTCAGAAAAGGTTCTTTCAACACAATTTTTTCTTTGATTAAAGTTTATCCGTAGTGCTCCCAGATGACATAACAAGAAGCACTATGTGTGTGGGCCTATTCTCTTATGAAGCTCAAGTGTTTTGATTCAGTCTTTCTTGTAACTTTCTTCACCACCTCCCAACACATGAACTTGTACATATACACAGAAACACACACTCCCACAAACATACTGTGTGCACCTGTGTAAGACCTCCAGCCTGTGGGGTCATGCAGGACTTGAGTCGTGGAAACCTTCCACATTTCACTTAAATTTACTTCTTATGCCAGTGTTACATGACACAAGATCTTGCTGTAAACAAACTAGCCTTGCCCCACCATGAGCCACACGCTGTCCTCAAGGGAGGAGATCACTCAGGCTGTGCAGTTGCTGGGGGGCTGATATCTAGACTTTTGCACCTGTGGGGCATTGTGAATTCACTGTCTAAAAGTGTATCTTCCTTGCAGTTCCGGTGCTGGTGCTGGCTGCCCTTTGCAGTGCTATGGCTTGTTTCTATGTCATCTTCTTCCACACTGACTACAAGCGCCTCCACGCTGAGAAAAACAGTGGTGATTTGGTCAAGGCAGAAGATACAGCAACAACAGATGTTCCTGAAGCCTAACCAGGCCAAAAAGGGCAAGCCAAGTGCCCAGTAAGGGAAGGACTCAGGCCTGTGGGCAGGGACCATGACTGCAAATGCTCAGTTGGCACACTGGGATATCCAGGTCGTGTTGCACAACAAGCCAGGGCCAGAGTAGAGTCACTGGGGAAACTTTGCTGTGCTTCTCTCAATCACGTATTTGTGAGTCCAGGCTGTAAGAAAGGCTGGGCTGCCAGAAAGGTCAAACTGGGACTGGACAGCTATGCAGGTAACAGGGATTTTTAGCTGGTGATTCAAGCTAAAGAAACGTTGCAGAGGAGAGGAGCATCATATTTCAGCCATTTTTTCATTTTCATGTACTTGGATTGGGATGAAGCTTTCAGAGGGGTAGAAGCCATGCCTATGACAAATCTGGTGGAAGACTTCTGTTTAAGGACTGTTGTTCTTGTACAGCATAACAACTTTTTCACTGTAAGGTTGGAGCTAATTGTGCCTCTTAGCAAGGAGGAGCTAGAGCATCCTTCCATTGCAGCAGGGAAATGTAGGTATATGATCTGTAATACAAGGTTATTACAGTGAGCCACTTTGTCCTCTCCTACAAATATGAAAGGAAAGCCCTGACTGCAGTGCTACCTGTAAAAGAAAATAACATTAAGCAGCAAAAGTTAAATATGGCAGCATTCCTTCCCCTTCTAGTTCCCTGCCAGGTGCAGAGACATTCAGGAAAAGCTTGTTTTACTTGGGCTTCTGTTTTACCACCTCTCCTGCAATTCTAGTAGTTAGTTTTCCACAAGAAGATGAACTTGCTGGTGTAATATTAGGGTAGTGTTCCTGCCCCAGGTCAAGTCATGCTCTCCTGTAGGGGAACACAGGGAGAGCAGCTCACTTTTTGGGACTCCACTATGTGGTTTGTCATACCCTGGTAGCATGCCATAGAGGGGTTATGGCAATGCTAACAGTGAGGCCAGGTAGCTCGCACAAATACCTACCTTGCACCATCAGCTGTTTCTGCTGGCTTAGCTAACTTCACATTTTGACTTTAGAATAAATGAGGCTCTAATTTCTGTGCTTGTCTGTAATTACCACCATAGCTGAAATCAGCTTATAGTTGGCCTTCTGGGCTGCAAGTGCACATTGCTGGCTCATGCTGAGCTTCTCATCCACCACCACCCCCAAGTCCTTCTCTTCAGAGCTGGTCTCAATCCACTCGTCACCCAGCATGTATTTATGTTTGGGATTGCCCCAACCCAGGTGCAGGACCTTGCATTTAGCCTTGTTGAACTTCATGAGGTTTGCACAGGCCCACCTCTCAAGCCTGTCAAGGTCCCTCTGGATGGCATCCTGTCCCTCCAGCATGTCAACTGCACCACTCAGCTTGGTGTCATCGGCAAACTCGCTGAGGGTGCACTCAATCCCACTGTCCATGTCTCTGACAAAGATGTTGAACAGTATTGGCCCCAGTACTGACCCCTGAGGGATACCACTGAGTCCTCTCTAATGAAGAGAGGATGATGTGTACTGTGTAAGAATGAATGATTAGCAAGAACTGCCTTGTTAAGGAATAGATCTATTCCCCAACTGATAGGTAAATACACATGTATTCAGGCATCAATCCTGGTTTGTGTTGGTCAGTTGACTCCTTCTCCATGCCTCTTCCCCTTGGAGGTTGTTGCAGGGTATGTTCTCAGAAAAGTTTGGGAAACCTGACAGCCTTCACTGGGTTTCCTCTGGCACTGAGGAAACACAGAGGAAAAGAAGCAATGAGAAAGGCCACTGTACCCATGGCACAACCTCACCTTAGCCTGCTTTCCCCTTGACAGGCAAGTTGTGAGGGGAAAAGGAGAGGTCCCTCCCAGGAGCTGCTGTTTCTGGGAGCATGTGGTTTGCAAGGGGGAGACATGGAGGGTCAGAAAAAGAGTTGCCAGTGGGCAGTGCTTGGTGTTAGCACAGACAAGCCAAAGGCACTCAGGCTGAGGCTGCTTAAGTAGGCTGGACCCCACAAGAGAGGCAAGCTTCAACCTGCCAGTGACACCCAGGAAGAGGTGTCCTGTTCACCCACAGCAGAACAGTCTCCAGCTGGGGCAGGGGGAAAGGCACTCTGCTCCCCAAACATACCTTCCTCCCTGAGGTGGTGGCCTTGCAGGGGCACAGGAGCCTACAGCCCAGTTTCCTTAAGGTCTTTGGGGACTTTGGTTCCCTGACCAGTCCCACCAGTGAGCCTGCAAAGGAGCTGGGGAGGCAATCAAAAGCTGTTCTTCTGCTGACAGTACCCAGGCTTTCCTGGCCTCTGTCATGGTGTCGTGGTGCAGGCAGCTTCTGCCCACTGCTTCTCTCCCTCCCTGCCCTGCCCTGCCCTGCCCTGCCCAGTGCTCTTAATCCCTGTGGCCGTTGCTTGCCTACAGTGAGGGCAGTCAGCACTCCCTACCTGTTCCAACTTGGTGCCTTTCATTTGCACCAAGAACACAGAATGTGCACCCCTGTGCAATCCCATTGATCTCCCAAACATGGCAGGGATGGGGGATGCTATGCAGCTTGGGGAGCTCATCCCCCAGCCTCCCCCAAAATGACTGCCGTGACACCTTGCTTGGAGGAGGAAGACTTAAATAAAATTAAACAAGTTACACATCCAGAAATCTAACATTTACAGCATAAGCTTCCTTGCCTAAGTCTATCACCCCATCGTAATTTGAAGACCCTGTGGTAGTTGCAGTTCTGAGAATCAGACAGAGCTTCCTAAAGGCTTTTAGGAAGTCAAGGGCATTGCTGTCCCCAGCCAGAAAGGAGGAGGACAACTACCTCCAGTGGCTGGAGATGAGTACGGCTACTGCAATATCTGTACAGACTGCAATATCTGTGAAGCTGTGACCACTGGTGAATGCCTTCATTTTTAAAGAAATTTTAAAAATCTCTAACCCTAAAACAAACAAACATGGCCAAAACTGTAGTCCTTGATGTACTATTGTGGGGAGGTGAGGGGAGAAGAGGAAGAGGAAAAGAAGTTTTTGTACAGCTGCTCCCCCATCAGCACAACTGGCTGTAGGAACAGGCATCCCTGCTATGTTCCAGTGGGCTCTGCCCAAGTGGTCTCCCCTGCAGGGAGGGTGATCACATATCAATGTTATGGAAAAGTTCCACAGAACCTGACAAGTAATTGTAAAACTTTATGGCCATTTTGACCCCACTTTGTGGAAAAGCAGCACATGTCCTCTCGGACAATCCCCTTTGAAGTTCAGGGAAGGCAGCTGTTGCACATACTATTTTAGCGGGAAGACCACATTAGAATGCTGAAATTGTCATTAGGCTGAAGGGACTTCAAGCTTAAGAAGAGCTACATGTGGCACAAATCCACTCCTTCAGACTCTGCTGCTCTTTGCTTGAATGAAAGACCGAATATTGACTCTACTGCCCCTTTGCTGCCTCCACAGGAACTGTGCAATAACTGTTCTAGTGCATGGGAATGAACTAAAGCTCTTGTGGTGGAAAGTTTCCTGGGTCTGCAAGAAACCACATCTTTTAATCACCATTTGCAACCTGCCTCCATGTACATGCAAAGCTTTGCCAGGCTGCTCTGAGCAATTCCCATTTGTTGCACACTACTAAGAGAAGACTTGAGATCTTATCTCCAAAAGCCAAAGCCTCTGATTACTTAGAATTTGCTAATCCAAAATGAAAAGAAGGCCAACTTTTTGGGGGTTTGTCAGAAATGCCAAATACATTGCCCTTCCAGGCTGCAAAGCCTGACAAGAAGACTGATGATGTCTCCTTCGATGCAATTTGTGAAGCTATGCCCTGCCCAAAGACCCAGTGTTACAGCCAGGAGGCTCTGAAGTGCTGACACTGTCTCTAAAGCTCTGCCTCACACCAGGGGTTGCCTCAGACTATGCTGCAGCAAGTGGCAGTGATCACTTCAGGAGGAGGTACAGGCAGGAGGTCCAAGGCAGCCAGATGGGCTAGGGACAGTCTCTAGGCATCTGCATTGCCCTTGCCCTCCCAGAAGGAGCTTTTCCCTCCTTTCCAAACCCCCAGCTCATTGCATGCTGTCCTACACAAAGGGGAGTCCCAAAAGCCATATGATCAGAGTTTCTTGGTGCTAGGGGACCACCTGGAGACTCCTCAGCGTAAGACCCTAGCAACAGACTAAACCTGGCCCTGAGAGTGTATGATCATGACCCCTGCAAGGCAGCAAGGTGCTTCTGCAGTAGTCTGCTGATAGCCCTTCTTGGGGCACATCTACAGGGAGACATAGATATGAGATGTCACGGTTGGTGCAAGCAGCCCAGGAGGGCACGAAACTGCAGTTGGGCAGGTTACAGGTGGGTTCAGAGGAAGATGTTTGAGGGCCCTGAAGCAGGGGTTGGGGTGATGTGGGGGCCCTGGGACAGATTCTGGTGACCAATGGCAGGGTTGGGCATCTCTGAAGGCACTTTGGCATTGTTTGTGATCCTTGCAGGGCCTGGTTTGGATGGGTTTGGGGGATGTTTCTATAGGGTGTGAAGCAGGGTTGGGTGTTCTGGGGTGGTGAGTAGGTTTGGGGGTTTAGTGTCTCTTGGAAAGGGTTTGCAAGTGTTTTGGGGCCCTGGGGCAGCGTTTGGCAGTAGGGGCCGCTTGGGCTAGATTAGGATGTGTTTGGGGACCTCTGGGACAGGGTTTGGAACTCATTGGTGGCAGCTGGGCAGAGTCTAGGGACTGATGACTTTGAGGGTTCTGAAGTAAATTATTGGGGTGTTTCAGGACCCTGATGCCAGATTGGGAGGAGTTGTGGGTACTTGGGCAGGGGGTGGTGGGGCCTTCAGGAGCCATGGGGAAGGGCATGGTTTGGGCTGCAGGAGGGCTTTAGGGAACCTGAAGCAGAGTTTGAAGGTATTTGGATATTTGGGGGCACTTGGGTCAGGTCTGTGGGGGTTTTGTGGCTCTGGGGCAGAGTCTTTGAGCCTTTGGGTAGGGAAGCTTAGAAGCAGAGTGTGTGTTGTGGCCTGGGAGTAGGTTTTAGGAATTGGAAGAGCATATGGTCAGGGTCTGGG